ACGTTATGAGAGACGTGAAATTCTCGTCTTTCTTGTTTGCTAAAATCACGTCATGAGAGACGTGAAATTCTCGTCTTTCTTGTTTGCTAAAATCACGTCATGAGAGACGTGAAATTCTCGTCTTGTTTGCTACATGTTTTTCTTTCATTGTTAGATTAAAGAATTTTTGCATAAAAACATTCTCATGAATTTTTGTATTTTTCATATAAATAATATTTTTGTAAATGAATACTGTTCTCATTATGCTTCATTAACTTATATTTGAAATTTCAGCTTCAGTTGTTTAATTCAACTTTGTCGAATTCAAAATTTTCAAAAAAAAAACAAAAAACAAAAATGGAAATCAAATAAATGAATTGAAATTCTTTTTCCATATATATATCTGACTAAAAAATTTATCAGCATTTCACATGGCTGATTATTTGATAGAAGAACAAATATATGAATTAAATTACCATCGCCATGCAATCTTTATCAGTTATTTTAAAAATCTGTGGTTCAGATAAAATTGACTTCATTCATAGTTTTCATGGCAATAAAAAAATAAAAACAAGAACATGCAAAACCTTATTTGGTAAAAATGTACAACTGGAAATCAAAATGAGCCTGTTTAAAATTAAAAAAAAAGAGTCATATTTAATGATGCCAAATTCACAGTTCTTGTCCATACCAGGCCTTAGTAACTTTTCTAATTATACCAAATCCATAGTTCACATCCATATCAGGCCTTAGTAACTTTTCTAATTATACCAAATCCATAGTTCATTTCCATATCAGGCCTTAGTAACTCTTTCAATAATGCCAGTGATGTTCTATCTTTCAATCTGCATACCTGTTGTTTGTTTTAATGATTCAAGCTTACATTGATTGAGAAGCTTTTAAAGTGCAATATTTTTTCAGCTTTTGTTACAATCACTTCACAATTATTATGTCACAGCGATCATCATTCATGGTAATATTTTGTGTGAAAAATACAAAAACGAACAACTTGCATGTTTGCATCTTCCGGAATTGTTTATTCCGGAAAGTGCAAACACTCGTGATAGATTAGTATGGTTCGTTAATTGTTAGATTTTATTAATAAATTAAAATTGGAAAATATTGTCTATTTTTATTTCACCACATTATTAGTCCAATCAGAATTGTTCCAATGGTATTTTCCGTAAACGGATTGTTTCCGGTAAATGATATCCTGCCTTTTTGCTTATTTTAGAATGAATTTTCCAATCATTGCATATTTACTTATTATTGCCAATTTATTGCATTCTGTACAATGCCTTCAATGCTATGAAAGTGTTGGAAACATTTCTTTTCCAAAGATTTGTTCGCCAAAACAAAAAGAACATGAAATGTGTTTTGCTTCTAAAATTGGAGGTACTTCTGTTTATAATTAATTCTCATTAATTATATTAATCAATTATATTAATGCTTCAGCATCCTATAATTAATATCGTAATAACATTGTTATACTGGCGGAAATGTCACTTTCCTAAAAAGAAAGCAAATTCAATTGGTTTTTTTTTATCTGTTAATTAATCGATAGCTAAAAACGATTATCTGTTTAAATTTTAGTTAACTTTGAAACAATCCTAATTATCCTAATCAAATGTTATTGGAATTATTTATCAGTGTTTCCAAGTTTTTGATAACAGTTTTTTTTAAGATCATTAACATATCTTTTTCCGCTTTATTTTTATTTCTTACATCCGCTTCCATTTTTTTTTTTTAAATTTTTTGCAAGTCAATGATACTGTAGTTGAAGGACTTTGTGTCAGAGGATGTTCCTTCGAAACTCTCCATTATGGTTCATATGAATATAGCTTAAATTGTTCCGTAAGTATTTCTTTTTTTTGCTTAACAAAAATGTTTAAATTTTATTTGAAATGAAATTGAATAACCTAGGAAAACCATATTTTATTACGAAATTTTATTTATTTTGAGAGAAAAATAATGTTAGATTTAATTAATTTCAAATAAATCTTTCAATTTTATGTTTAATGTAAGCTTTTAATCTGACCAATTTACTTCATATTATTTGAATTAAATGAGAAAGGCAATTGAATATAATAATTTTAGGATGCAATATGCATGAAAGATTTAGGATGTTGTTGTAAAGGTAATCTTTGCAACAGTCAATGTTCCAATGAAGCAGCAACGATCGGATACTGTACACTTTTGGTTCTGGTATTTGGCTTGATGATGTTTGAATTCTTGTGTTAAAAGATTTTTTTTTATTACTCTACCAAATGTATTCAAACTTTATGCTTAAGCAGTGTTATATATTTGGAAAACATCAAAGCAAGAACCGGAATAATTTTAAGCAAGAACCGGATTTAATACCTACAAATATACAAGTATCATCAAACTAAAAATCATAGCAAAACCAAGCAAACCTGGTTTCAAAAGGAATAATTTCCCATTAGAATTCATTTCATTCTAATAGGTTCTTTTTGAATAATTATGAATACAAATCCCACTCTCCAAACACCACTTAAATCATTTAAGATAGCATATGAAGCTTTTTTCGAACATATGAATAGTCCACTGATAACATTGATATACATCAAATGCTTCAGGCTACTTTATCATAAACTTCAAAATATCAATCATATTATGATAGCAATAAAATGTGATTTTTATATGTGAGGATATTTACAACAGAAATGCTGCAGGAGATATTTGTTGAGTTCCTATTTGCGTAACTCAAACCAAAATCAGCTGATTTATCACCGAATCTTGATTGAGAGATTTCATTTCTTGTTAATGAGAGGAGAAATTTTATTTAATATTTGATACCGGAAATTAGGATATGCGGAGTGTTTTGTAGTATAAAATGCTTTTCTTCTACAGAGCAGAAATACAAAATGCGCACGTTTTTTACAAATTATTTTACTTAAGGAAGAGATAATTTTAATATAAATGAAATCATCATGCGCAATTTAACATTAAATCTTACAGTTCTAATTATTACGCAAAGAAAGAGATGAATTTCTATGACAAGAAAACATTATCGGCGGTATTTTTCTCTTTGGTACAAATGTTGATTGGTAATTTTGACCAGAATTTGTTATACTTTGCATTGTATTCATACTGACAAATTTTCGGCTTCAACTATTCCAAGATATTTAAATGATATGACAAAGGCTAGTGACACAAAAAAAAAAAAGACCTTTGTTGAAATTAGAACGAATAAAATGACATATTTTTGTTGCTATTGGATAACAAAGTATTGGATGTATCATATATTTTGATTGATTAATTATATGACTTATTTTGTTAAAGATTGAGGTTTAGATCATTTTATTATTACTACTGATGTTGTTCGCATCTATTACGGTAGAAAGCATTATTTGTAATGTCAAATAGATTCTCGAAATATAAGATCAAAGGTTAATAAATATTTTTGTGACACCACAATAAAATAGGATGTAACAATAAAATTGGCAAAAAAAATACGAAAAACATTATTATTCCAGATTTCATTTTCAAAAAATTTTCATATAAAATATGTTTCTTTGAAAATATTCAAATTTTAGATTAAATGTTAGAGATCGTCTTTTACCTAATGTCATTAATAGCAATATTGATCCCTTCCAACTTCCTCTCTCTCTCTCTCTCTCTCTTTAAAATGTCTCAATAATAAGATATTTAGTCGAAAATATGTACATGCAAATTCCTGGCCTATTTTCTGGAACAAATTTTTGAACCAAATTTATAGAATGATTTTATATTAAATACGCAATTTAATCAAAAGCGTGTACTGACATTCGAAAATGTCGCACAAATTGTCGCATAAAATGTCACTGATATCCTTTTATTGTTTGCCATTCCTTTTTCTCGTTGAAACAGTATGATTTGTGATAAGCTGAATTAGATAAATGATAGCTAAATGGAATTGTAAAATATTAATTGAGATAAAATAAAGATAAAATAGGAAAATTGTTACCAAATTAAACGAACAATGATAAAGGTAACTCGAGAATATATGTTTTTATTCTCGAGATAGTAAACTTTTTGATTTTACCTTGCCTTGAAAGCTCTTCATTTTTCATGTGATATTCTTTTTAGTAATGAGTAATTAGTGGAAATACTTACTTAAAGTAAAGGAAAAAAAAATTTTGAAAATTCAGCATAATAAAAGTCACCTCAAGAATTGAAACTATGATATGCTGCAATACAGTATATGGTATTTATTGAGGTTGATAATTGCATGATTATTGATCAACTTCATTAATAAGAATGATCATTGATCATCCTCATTAATAAGAATGATCATTGATCATCTTCATTAATAAGAATGATCATTGATCGTTTTTATTAATGAGAATGATCATTGATTGTTTCCATTAAAATTATTATTCTTTTTATTATTGTCATTATTATTATCATTTTTTGAATGAAAAACGAAAGGAAAGCACATTTTGCAATTTCACAGTGATATAATTGTTATTCTCTTCCTTCTTCTTCAGAAAAAAAAAAAAAAAACCGGAAAACTTTCAGTGATTCATTTGTTTGTTATAGTGCTTAGAAACCGGAAAAACCGGTGTAACATTTAATACTTTTCAGAATGTCTTATCAATTCTTATTTTCATGTGTGTTATATGAATTAATCATATCTATAAATGTATAATATCTTATTTCTTCATTAAAAACTGATATAAATTCATGTATTCTAACTCTTTTTTCTCTCATAAATTTGACGCAAAATGTGATATCATCGAAGAGAGTTGAAATGTGATACAACACGTACATGTCAGAATCCATGAGATGCAAGATATATGATGCAATACGTACATATCAGAATCCATCAGGTTTAAAGTATGATGTAACACTTATATATTAGAATCCATGGAAAATTTACATTACGATACAACACGTACGTATCAGAACCCATACGATTAAAAATGTGATACAACACGTACGTATCAGAATCGATAAAGAAGATATTCTGTTACAGTTTTAGTACCAATTAATGAGTTATATTGATGAAATGATGAATTTTAATAATTTAATCGTAGAGTATGAGAGTTGATTCCGTTTGAGAATGATGGAAAAGAAAGGAAAGAAGAGACGGAACGGAACGGAACGGAACGGGACGGAAAAGGAATGTTATTTACTGAAAGCATCAAATCAAACACGTGTTCAACAACAGGTACATGAATGAATTCAACTGTATCTATAAATACAAATGTCATTCAACCATATGGCTTACACAAATTTCAAAATAATGAGAACAGATGCGTTGCATTGACTGATCATTACGTGTGACATTCTTTGAAGATAATTTCTTTGCTTTCAATTTCAAATTGATCAATGTAAACATTATTAGCAAAAGCACAAAAATAAAATGAACTTATATTATTAAATTCATCTGTGACCTTTGAACTTATTCCTTGTTACCACGCTAATTTATATCCTTCTAAATATCAAATGATTCTTATCCTTCATTTATTATTTTTCATTTTATTTTCTTTTTTTCTTTTCTTTTTCAAATCTTTCCCTAAAATTTTCAAATTCTATTTTGTTTTATTCATTCATTACTTTTATTTTAGCTTTTGTCTGGTTGAATTTTTTTCTTTTAAAAAAAAAAAACATATTTTTTCAGTAATTTAAATTTTAATTTAAAAAAAACTTCATCATTTCTCTTTGCTAGAAATAAAAGCTATGAATGATTTCTGACATCGATGGAAAGATAAAC